TTGCAAACCAGAGCACTCCAGTATGGTGCAGCACTATGTGCAGGTTTGGTACCGCTTTATCCCGCAATGCTGTGCACATAAAAGGCCAAACATAAGCATGTTAAAGTGTACAACTTAATTTAGATGTGCTACATCAGACTACGTGGTGTGCAAGGCTTTTGCTGGGAGCACCTTCAGATGTAGGGCAAAATTCTCTTCTCAGATTCCTGGAGTAGCTCCTGACTCTTGTCTCCCGAGTCTCCTGTGCTGACACGTGCAGGCGTTCTGTGATGTGAAAGAGAGTGAGTGAGTGCCCTCTCACCGACTCAGGAATGGACAATAATGGCAAGGCCTCAAAAAGAGCACGAGACCCTTTCTTTAACCAGTTGCTCTGTGTCTGAGAGAAACTCGAAGTGTTTGTGTCACTTGGACAATGTTCTTGTAGCTTCTTTCTCCTAATTATCACTAAGCTGATGATCTAAGACTGCTTGTGGATATGAGGACAGAATTTTGCCTGCAGGATGCGCAATTACCAACTGTGCCTCCTCTATAAATCAGTTGTAAGTGTATTTGGAATAGCTGCCAGGCCGGCTTCTGAGCTTACCAGAGGACAGAGCTCCAGCAGATACAGTCCCACATGGCACAGAGCTGTTGCAGTTTTAAAATCAGTCTGATTTTTTTCTTTAACAGGGGAGCCCAGTGTAACTCCGTCAAGACTGGAGTGACACTCTGAATCTGCATCTGCCTCATGTGAGTTAAAATCCTGGCAGCAGCATTTTGCATAAGCTGGAGCCTCTGTAGAGATTTTTTTTCTTCTTCTTTTTTTTTTCTTTTTCTTTTTTTTTTCTTTTTCTTTTTTTTTTCTTTTTCTTTTTTTTTTCTTTTTCTTTTTTTTTTCTTTTTCTTTTTTTTTTCTTTTTCTTTTTTTTTTCTTTTTCTTTTTTTTTTCTTTTTCTTTTTTTTTTCTTTTTCTTTTTTTTTTCTTTTTCTTTTTTTTTTCTTTTTCTTTTTTTTTTCTTTTTCTTTTTTTTTTCTTTTTCTTTTTTTTTTCTTTTTCTTTTTTTTTTCTTTTTCTTTTTTTTTTCTTTTTCTTTTTTTTTTCTTTTTCTTTTTTTTTTCTTTTTCTTTTTTTTTTCTTTTTCTTTTTTTTTTCTTTTTCTTTTTTTTTTCTTTTTCTTTTTTTTTTCTTTTTCCTTTTTTTTTTCCTTTTCAGGAAGGCTATAAAATTGTTACTGTATGTGTCTTGGCAGCAAAGGTAAAAAAATAAGCACATAAATGCATGAGAATTGCATACCTTACTGCACAACCCTTGCTCATTGCAGATCAGCTTCCCTCCTAGCACGTGTTGAGTAAGGGACACCCACACTCATCACAGACCTGGAGGCTTGCCACATTCACTCCTGGGGTACTGCTTTTTACCTTTCAGTAGTGTCATGTTAAGCCAAGCAGTGGTATTCAGAGGAGGCTGCAATACTGTCAACCAGCTTCTGGTTTTTTTAGACCTTTGGTTGTTTTCTTTCCACCCTGGTTGCATAATCCATGAGCATTGGGTGCTGACTGACCTGTGCCACTGAAGCATTTACCTGAGTTGGAACACATACTATTAAAATAACCTGGTCCTCTGGAGCTGAGGACTTGGCATGGTGGCAGAGACATGGCCATCAAGTAGGAACAAAGAGAAAAAGACAACAGAATAAGTTATGCTTTGGTTTTAGTGTTGTCCTGCATATGTTGGGCAAGGACACTGAAAAGAAATGGTTCATGGCTCTGCCTCTTCACCCATCACAAAATTGAGGTTGCTTGAAGACTGGGCCCTTTTCAGCTGGGTGAAAGAGCTGAGCCTGGGAGACACTGCATGGCAAATAGCTGCATTCATTGCATCACCATGGCACACAGATTATCTCCACTTGTGATCTCAGCAACCAGGTCTGAGGGAGGGGGATGTTCCAGGAAAGTTTAATTTTTTCTTCATGCAGTTGCATAAAAAAATACCTATCTGTTCTCTCTACTCTTTTTCCCCATGGATGCCTGAAGTAAACAAGACACAAGAGTGACCAACCCTGAGTACAATACTGAAATACATTTTTTCATCTAGTAATACATAGAACTGGGGCATCTTCTCCACACGTGCTGCTATAGTTGCAGCAGTGTTAGCCTGTTCATACTTGATTTGAAGAAGGTGGATTGTTCATTTGCCCCAAAGCTCATATTACTGAAACAGACATTTTCACAGCTTATGATAAATGTCAGTGGGTTGTGGCTTGTTCTGATTGTTGCAGCATGTGCTGTGGTGTAAGGTGCTGTCCAGGTGGGCTCAGTGAGCTCTCAGTCTGTTCCCAGCTGTGTCTTCAATTAAAGGAAAGTGTATCTTGAACAAGTAAGTATGATGGTAACTGGAGAATGTTTATTGTCTCTTTCCTAATTCCAGGAGTCCAGTTTTCTGTGTCTCTGTTTAGTATGTGTATCAAGGAGAAGGCTCAATTTCCCAGATCCTGTGGAGTGGTAGAAAAATAGGGAAGGGACTTGAGGCATGAATGAGCTGGTAGTTTAGTTTTATTCAAGGAGTCATCAAGGAAGCAAAATCTAGAGCTTGAGAGATAAGGGGAATAACTACCCCCCCACCAAGGAAACACTCAGATCAATCCTGTTGCAGTACTGCCTCACCAGATGATGGATGGGGTGAAGGCTGAGGTTGATACCTGGTCTCAGCCTTTTTTCCTGCTGGTACTTCAGCTTGTTTCCTTAGACTTAGAGAGTTACAAGGAGGTCTGTAGTGATAAATCTAAGACAGAGAGGGAGGGAGGAAGGAAGGGAGGAACTGAATGAGGACATTTTGTGAGTAGCTGGCCTCATGTTCCACCAGACTGTGCTGTGGTGAGGTGTTAGTGAGATGCACAGGTTGTTTAACAGAAAGCCCTTCCATGTTCCCTGAAATGGTTCTGCTGGAGCTGTTGATGAACCACTTCTGCTTGTGTGGAGGAGATGCCAATGTGCTCATTGAGATTCTTTGTGTTAGGACATCATCACCATGGTTGGTGAGTTCAGAAAGAGCAGGATTTCCTTGGAGAAGTGTTTTGTTTGGGAGTGATGTTTTATGGCTGAGTTGGTAACATGATCAAATTCCTAGGAAGCTAATGAGGGGTGCAGCAGCTTCATGGACAGAGTGGGGGACTGGAGGCTACTTCACATAATGGGGAACTTTGCAGTGCTTTCACCATCTGAGAATCTGTGCAGGTGTATTTATTACCCTTTTCCCTGGGAAGTTCCTTTACTCTCCTGTATCAGGGGAGTTCCTTTTTCCAGATGATGTTCTGGTGTCAGTCTCACAATGCTGTTCATCACTTAACTGTCTTTTGCTCCCTCCAATTCTAGCTCACTCCCCAGAATTGCCTTGTCAGTTACTGCTTTCTCCATTAGCTGTAGTTTTTGATTTCTTATTCCTATCTGTAACTCAGTCAACCCTTCCTTTCCTAAAGGACAGAAAAGACTACATGCATTGAATGTTGTATCATGTTATTGATGTTTGCTATCAATATAATAATGCTTGAAGATTTTTTAAACTGTTTTATTTGTTCAAGTTACGTATTTAAAAACATTACAGATTTGCTTGTTATGTTTTTGATGGTGTTAGTTTAATGGGGAAAAGTAAGAATTCTGGTGCTTTTTAGGTTGTTAAGAGGTATGGGAGCCTTTGGTCATGGTTATTACTATGATGTGAGTCTTTTGGCAGGTTCATTTCTTCTATAGTTCTTGGCTTTTTGGTAATTTCATAGTATTTTATATGTTTTTCTCCTCTCAGATTAAGTTTCTGTGTTCCACAGTTTATAATGGTGGTGATTGTGTGGGCAGTATAGACAATGTTCATGAATATATATTATGAGGCCCCCAGGTGTGCTAGATCTCTCTTAGGAAAAGCAGTCTGTCTTCTAAAGATCTTACTGTGTAACTTGCACATTTTTGTATCTTTACTCAGTTAAATTTTAAGTATTCAGCTGCTTGAGACATCTGAGCCAGTTGAACCCATGGTAACTCTCATTGCAATCAAGGGTTGTATTTACCCTTGTTACATCTTAGGACCAATTTAAGACAGCAACATGCAGTAAAGGTAAACACCAGAGAAACAGCGATTTTCATCTGCCAAGGAAACAGAATGATTTCCTTTTGAATGTTAATTTAATGATCTGATTAAGCTGTAACATTTCCAGTACATGGGAAGGTCATTTTCAAGAAGAAGACAGGCCTAATGGTAAGAATGACTTGGCTGAACAAGTCCATTTCTTTTGCATTGAGTTAAGGTATATGTGACAGGTGAGCAGCTTCTCTGAAATGTGAGAACAGTGAGCTTGCTTAACAGAGTAGCACTTTGATGCACAGGGGTAATAGCTAACAGATTTTTACAGTACCAAATGGTATTATTAAGAAACAAATAATACATTAACTTGACAGCTCTACCTTCAAGCTAACTTAGTCTGCAGCAAACATAAATTCCCCTGAGATGAAATCTGGAGACAATAGGAAGCTTTGGGATTGTATCCAGAGCAGTAACAGTAGCACAGTAGTGATGAATTTCAGCCTTTCTAACCATGAATACACGTGTTCCCAAAAATTATTGCTTTCTTCACCAGCTTTGCAAAAACACAGCAAACCAAAACCTGATCTGAGCAGGTAGAACAGGCAGTGTTCGTGCATCTGCCTAACAGGACTGCAGGGAGGGGAGCTGCAGTTTGAAAGACATTTTTCCTGATGCAGAGAGCTGTGATAGACTGATGGGTATTTCATATGGTGCACTCTGCTACTGAAACTTGGAATGCAGCTCTGCTCAGCTGCAGTCCTGCAGCATGAGCTAATTCCACAGTGGCTCTGGGCTGGGGGACCTGAGGCAGTGAAGAGCAGGAGGGAAGAAGGGAACGTGTGATGTGGAGGAGGGTGGAAGGAGAATGGGTACATTACTTTTAACTGCCTTCTTGTTTAACTCCCAAGCTGTTTTCAAATTTTCTAACTGAAATCTCATCTTGGTACAGTGTATAAATCCCCTGAATACGAATCTCTTGGATTTGACCTGACCGTAGAAAGATTAGTTTCCATTGGATACCCTCATGAGCTGCTCAATTTTGTGTATGATCCTGCATTCCCTACCAGGTAAATGACTAACAGATACCAACCCAGGGTGCTCGAGGCCTTGAATATATTTATTCTGTATAGTTCATAGGCAACACGTAGGGCCAGGTTTTCAGAGCTGTGCCTGCGAATCCTGTGGTTTACCACAGGCCATGGGGAAGGGAGCAGACTGCTCCGATATGTGGAAGGTCTTTGCTCACATGAATCCATGCCAGCAAAGAGGGAGTGTGTAAGAAAAGAGGCCTGCTGAGAACATGGTCCAAAAATAACCTTTCAGAGCAAAGACAGCAGAGACACAATTGGATTGGGAGTTAAATCAAAATCAAGGGGATGAAGAGTCATTGCTCTCTATGAAGCTGCTAGAATGTCTCAGAACATTTTTCTTTAATTATTTTAATTTATGGTGTCCTGGTGCATGAGACATCTTGAAAATTAAACTGACAATAAACAACAATAAAAGTGGAACCAAATTAATTAAATGCCGGAAGAAAAATTAATGGCGCAAAGTTACTAAATTCTTACATTTTGTCTTTTGGTGGCAGCAGTAAAAAGGACATTGCTTATTTTAAACAAGGCTTTTGATCTAACTCTGTACCTTTAAGTTGTTCTCACTTGTGCCTTTGCTGGATTTTGCTTTTTTGACACCTTTGGAACTTTTTTTACAAAAGCCTGCACCAGAGGGTCCGTAAGCTTGTTGCTTTTAAGTTTTCAGTCTGGCAGCCTCCTTATTTCCCTCCTCTCAGCATGTTTTACACTTCGACTGTTGCTGGGTGAGTCCATGCCTATAACAAGATAGTAGCCTGTGATGAAGACTCCTTTAAATCCACTGCCTTCATCCCAGGGAGGGGACAGAAGGGATGTCTCTGTGGGAAGGCTGCATTCCGCAGATGCAAGCTATCTGATAAGTGAGACAGAGTTTCACTGGGGTTGGATCTGGAAATGTTCAAAGCATTTTGTACAATAGTTACATGCCCCATCTGTCTCTGTCTGTGACAGAGTGATGAAAAAGAGGGGATAAATTCCTCTAACACACCTCTTGGCAGCCCAGCAGGACTGTCAGGGAACTGCAAACACAGGTGTCAGATTTGTGACCCTGTGGAAGAGGCCCATGTCTTCCCCACTCTGTGCATATCTGAGCCTCTGCCAGGTTAAACGGTTGTTTTCAAGTCAGAGGAGAGCAGATCAGCTGTGCCTTTCATCTGGCAATGCAGGGCTCTTGTTGCTCACCTGCAGCCAGGTGCAAGGGACAGAAAGGAACCCCATCTGCATAGTAGCAGCAACTCTGTTCTGATGCCCCATGTCAAGGGAGCAAGCTGTTCTAGAGATGATTTGGAAAAAAATGCTATTAAAATGGTCATGGCTTAATATGCTTGCTTCTTCATATCTTAACTTGCTTTTTTTAACAGAGGCCTGGTGTTTGATACCCACTATGGAAACCTGTTGAAAGTTGATGCCTATGGGAACCTCCTAGTGTGTGCACATGGCTTTAATTTCCTCAGAGGGTGAGTGCTGACTCTTGGCTGTTCTTTTTGACTTAAGATGTTCTTATGTGTCACTGATCCTCAGGGCACCCATTTGGATAGGGAATCATGGGAAAGCCACTAACAGCAGATGCCATATTGGTGTTCCTGCAGCTCCAGGATTGACTGGAAATGTGTTGAGGGTCCCAGATACAACAACAGCCCACGGTGTTTACAGAGGAAAGGTCTGCACCAGAACAGGCACACTTGTAGTGTGCTAGGAATAGAAGTGAACTGTGGGAAGGTGTTGATGTGATAATCCATGGGCTGTTTACCTGTCCTGGCACAGTTTAACATCAGCAGCTTGTCAGTCAAGACCAAGCCATTGTGTGAGGGCTGAAGGGTGCAGAGAAGACATGTGCCCCATGAGGCTGTTAACTCCACAGCCATTGCTAAGAAAGTTCAAGGGCCTGAGCTGACTTGAGGAAGGAACAAGCTTGCTCTACCCTTTTGTGTTTCTGACCTTTCAGGGTATCAGAAGGGAGGCATTGCATCTCGTTTCCTGCAGCCTTCCCTGGCTTGTCCCAGATAAGTTGCTTTAGAAAGCAGAGGGGTCCACAGTGCTGTGTGCCTGATATGTCCCAGCAAACCCCCTCATATCCCTGCTGTGAGGGCAGATGGATGGAAGGCATGTAAGTACAGGCCAGCTCAGGGTCCCCAAGGTGACAAGCTCTGTCATTGCAGGCCTGTAAGTTCTTACATCAGGAAGACAAAGTTTAGAAAAAGCCCTTATATATGCAGTCAAGTTCCTCTTTGAGTGAGAGGTGATCTTCAGAAGTTCCAAAAATGAAGGTGACCAGAATAATTAAATCACTTTAGTCATTGCCACCCTGCTGATTAATTGCAGAGGGCCCCAGGCAAGCCTCCTGCAGCACAGCCACGCACTCCCCTGCTGCTCCCTGCTTGGGGGAGTGTAGAGCAACGCATGGAAAGTGGGGGAAAGTTTAGGATAAGCAAACAATGAAAGTGCAGATGATTTAAGGCATCCTCATAGCCAGCAGCATGGGGCTTAAGGTCGAGTTGTGGACTCTCAACTACTCTGTTTCCCTGTGTGGGCTCTGCTCAGTTTGCTGACTTAGCAGTGAGGGCTTTGTGCCAACTCTCCCAGAGCCAGCACAGTGAAGGGAATGCTGCTGGATGCACGTGAGAAAGCTGGGTGTTGACTAAAGCACAACAGACTCTAGTTAATGGACCCTGCTATAACTGTATTTTGCAGGTCAGCACATTTTATCCTCATTTTTTATGGTTTCATTTTTCTCTGTCTTATCTGTTCTTAGGCCTGAAACACGGGAACAATATCCGAATAAATTTATCCAGAGGGATGACACAGATAGGTTTTACATTCTGAACACGTTATTCAATCTTCCAGGTGAGTCTAATGTGATCCAACACATTGTTTCTGTGCTTTTGAAGCTAGTAAAGCTTTGCTAATGTCGTATTCTACTCATCTGTTCATTTCTTTTTTTACATTAACTTTCTCTTCTTGGCATAGGGCCTAAAGTTAGCTGGCCAGATAGTGTTATCCTTGGTTTAAAATCTTGCTTTGTTTCTTTGCAGAGACCTACCTATTGGCTTGCCTAGTGGATTTCTTTACCAACTGTGACCGGTACACTAGGTATGTGTTCCCTCCCATTCGAGGTGCTGATGGCACAGTAAGTTTGCTATTATAAAGAGTAATTCAGCATAGATGGAGCTTGTTCTTAATATCAGTGGAGGGCTTTCAAGTGGATTTGATGGGGAAATGTTCAGGCCTCTTATTTGTTAGACATTAAGAGAATTCAGTGGTGAGGAGGTACCTGGCAAGGGTTTCCTTCACAGGGTATATCAGTATCACCACTGACTGTCACTGGTATTTGGACCAACTTCTAAGACCACACACTTATGATAAGGTGATTATAGGCACCAGTCAGCTCCTTTTGAACCCTTGTCTATTGGAGCCATATTTTGAACTGGTAACTGAAAGGGTGAATTTCCTCAGCCAGTTACCACAAGTCCCTCATGTATTTATTGAGGACTTTGTTCACTTAAAGGTGAAATGCTCAGACTCAGTACAGTGTAAAAGGCTGTGCAGCATGAGTGTTTACCTAGCTTTCAAATAGGTATAAGCATAAAAACAAGCTGTAGTTTGAACTAGCAAATGTGAATGCTGCTGTGCTGCTGACTCATGTGATGGGTCATCTTTGCATATTATGTGAGTGGAAGGCAAAGCTTTAACAGGATTTTACTTGGGAGCAGAGGAACTGTTTATGCTGACAATCCATGAAGTGAAGTATCCTTTCTCAGAACAGGCATGATGATTGCTGTCATAATAAATACTGCTCTGTTTAATCATCCGTGATTTCTTCTGATACAAACTCTCATGGGTGTCTCAAAGATGCCTCCACAATATCTTGTAGAGGAAATTTCTCATGTTAACTCTAACTGTTCAACACAGAAGCATTTCCTTCTCTCAGCAGTGAGTATTACATTTAGTTCATTTCCATGGCACCCCCTTCTTTAGTGTTGGAAAAGGGGAGAAAGAGCAGCACTCTGCTTACTTTCTCAGTACTATTCATCTTTTGTAACATGCTGCAAACTGCAGAGTCCCAGTCTATTTTCCTTCTTGTAATGTTATGGGGAAGAAAGAAGTGTTGCAGACAGTGAAAGCTGTAATACTGCTATGAAGACACAGGCCTGTAGTTAGGAACTCACCTAAAGTTTTAAACAAAGATTCTTGGGTAATACGGAGATCCGGTTAAACTCTGGTTGTAGCCTTCTTTCAAGTCTGAGCCACAGTAAGCTGTAAATAAGAAACCATTTTGGTAAGATGAAAACACAAGCTCCAAACAACATGTTGATCTGTTTCTCTCCTTGATGTTTTCTTTCTCCTCACAGCTGTGAAACAGGGTTTAAAGATGGAGACCTCTTCATGTCCTTCAGGAGTATGTTCCAGGATGTCAGAGATGCTGTTGACTGGGTTCATTACAAGGTGATTGCAAGAACTATCTGGGACCTGTGACATTGTAACTGGGTTAGAGGACTGGTTTGTAATTAATCAGTTAAGATGTGTTACTCCACTTTTGGGCAAGAGCCCTGCTTTGCCGCCTAGTGAGCAAATATTGAATTGCAGTTGGATATGAGTAAGTCTCAAGATCTTGACTGCCCTCCTAGTACTGAAGAATATCTGTCTTGGCTTCCTGTTCCTTTTTATTGTGCCCAAATTGCATTCCTGTACTGTAATACATGGGGTTTAGAACGTGATATCATGAGGGTATTTGCACTTACAGTTCACAACTTCTACATTATTCTAATTATTAAAACAGCAATTTAATATAAGTGGTTTACATTAGTGCTGTCTTATGTTGTCTAAAAAGTACCTGCGTTAAACAGAGAACTACATCAACTCTTCTTTATGTAGAAAGGAGAGGCAGTTAATCTTTTTCACACACTTGTGCACAAATTTAGAATATAGTTTTGTGAGCATTAATATCTGGCTAAAAACCTGGTTTTCTTGTTTTTCATCATTCAAGAGGTCTGTTGGGGTGGGATGGAGAACTGTCATAGGAGAACTCTGCCCAGAGTTGTACTTGTGATGGTCCTTTTATCCATGCAGAAGTCAGGAATTTATTTTTCTTTCCTTATGCAGTGTTGTGTGATACATGTTGGAGTTGACCTTTGAGTAAAGCATTATGGTCAGTGTTGGAGACAGGTCATTAACTGTCTTGTTTGGTATGGCAAATCTATTTTTTGTTTGTTTCTATTGTATTCCCTTCTGAAAGGGTTAAAATGCTGTTGAAGTGGATTATTTACCATGGTGAGGGAATCGATGGATCACAGAGTTTGTGATGGTCCCTGCTACTCAAAGCCTCTCATCTCTAGAGTCACTGGTTCAGATTCGCCCTGGTTTGTACTTTCACAGCATTTTAAAGTGTGAAAGTTGGCATTACTTTGATGTCTCTTACATCATAAGTTTCCATTACCTCACTGGGTCCTGTTGGCTCTATTTCAGGGATCGCTAAAGGAAAAGACCCTTGAGAACCTGGAAAAGTACGTGGTGAAAGATGTAAGTGTGAAGTGACTTCACTTGCGTTTCATGACATTCTGTACTGAGTAAGCAGGCAAGAAATAAACATGCTGATGTGCTTTACTAAATCACAAAGCAGATAACACTGTGATTTCTATTGTAATAACCAAAGACAAAGTGGAAAGTTCATGCGCAGCCTTTATTCTGAGCCAGCGAGCCACGCGGTTTTGTGTTCACGTGCACGGGTTTCACGTAAAATTATAAAAGCCAGAGAAATGTTGTCACGGGGCCCAGGTGAATATACTGGCAAGGCTTGTGTTGTTTCTTTAGGTGCTGAAAGCAGTTGTGTTCCCTGCCCATGTTTTCTCTTTGTAAAAAGCGACAGATGAGTGTCTTTTGAGACAGAAGGATCCCTTAGCTATCCAACAAAAATGTTACATGTGTTTAACTAGGAAGGACTGAGAGAAGAAAGGTCCTAAAAGACTCACCAATGTTCAGTCTCTTGATAGCCCCAAAATGGCTGTTTAGCATGTCTAATGGAGCAAGATCCAGTTGTTGCCTTACTTTTTCCCTCTCTGCAGTGTGCAAGGCCCCTCTGGACCACTTACGGTGTGATTATTGTTTAGTTTAGATGAACTCTGTGGTAGAGTATCACTTTAAAGCACTTGACCTTGTTTCTGGTTGCATGCCTACAACATTCTTAGGAAACTGTTCTGTGAGGTAATCAGCTACTCTGGCAATGGACTGAGATTTATGATTCAATAAAAATAGCCCCAGGAATAAATTCTCCCTAATTTGAGGTTGGAATTATAATGCGCTCCAACTTGTGGCTCATGTGAGCTCAGATTTCACCTGCCTCTGGGCCCATTCCGGGAATGGACTTGGAGCTGAAGGAGCTGCTGCTCCAGCATGCCTGGCATGGAGCAGATCGGTGGGAGCAGCCCAGGGTGCCTGGCAGTGGGGTTGGCAAAGGCACTGCAGCCCTGCTGAACCCTTCCCCCTCGCCTTCCTCCCCTGGGCTGTGCTCTGCAGAGGTGTTATGTGGAGGGACCAGCAGCTTTCCTGGCTCTGGCCAGTGCCAAAACACGTGAATTTGCTTGCTTGATGGTTTGCTTTGCTTTTTTGTGTCTAGTGGGATCATACTTGAAAGTTTTTTGCCTAGGATGGATCTCTGTAACTTCTGTATGTGACTTGTATGTCCCTTGGCTTTCAGGGGAAGCTGCCACTGCTGCTCAGCCGCATGAATGAAGTTGGGAAGGTGTTTCTTGTCACAAACAGTGATTATAAATACACAGATGTAAGTGCTACTTGAACTGCTGTACTGGTATGTAACAAAATAAGCAAAAAACAGCCATTCATTTGTATGGGTTTTGGTAGGACATCTTCTGGTGGAGAATCAGGTATTTTCTAAGCTAGGTGTAGGATGGTTTTGTGCTGAATGCAGATGAGGTCTTGAGTCATCTTTTTTAGTCCTGGTTCTGCTACTGACCTGGCTTAAATCCCTCTGTGCCTCATGCAGTTCCTCAGCAGTTAAGTCTGACAGAGAAAGTGATACTAGTTTCAGATTTCAGCATCCTTTAAAATGCAGAAGTTCCTTTCCAAGTCAGGTAGTGTGAGTACAGACAGGTCACCAAAGCCAATGGTCCTGGAGGCCTAAGAGCCAGAAAGGGCTGTCTGCTGTGGTGTAGGAATAAACAGCCTTCCTTTGTCTCCAGGTAAATGTCAAGATGTTACAACACTGCTATTTATTTGCCATTTTAAAGCATTGCAAGATATACCTGAAGCAGTGTGCAGACTTTTGAGGCAAATACAGTTTTTATTTATAAAAATAACTGGTTTAATTCACTTTAAATTCCAACCATTCATTTTGTCTCCCAGTCTTATGCTGACCTCCATTCAAATCTTAAAAATAAAGATCTGTAACCTGAAAAGATGAAAGCAGAAAAGTATGCTTTTTAAATTACTCAAATGTATGTTTAAAAGTGTGTTTTTGACTACTTTCTTTCTGTCTTTCAGAAAATTATGACTTACTTGTTTGACTTTCCACATGGACCAAAGGTATGTGATTTCTAGACTGCAGTTCCAATAGCAACTGATGTGTCTAATTATCTGTGTAGCTGGAAAGCATTTTAATCCTGCTTCATCGGCTGCATGGGATTAGTTGCTTTAATCTGGTTAAAATACACTTGCTGTTTTGTGTCCTATTTGAATGGGATCAAAGCAAATACAATATAACAAAGATAAAAGAGGCATCATCTGGTCTCAAACAATAATCTGTGTTAATAATAACATTATTTCAGTGACAAGACATTTTAACTGTGACATTTTGCAGCCAGGTTTCTTAGAAATCTTGCACAATGTTTGAGATCTTGTTAAAAAAAACCCACCTTGATGGAAAGGAAAGAGTTTTCTAAAGCAGCAGAAACATATATTATGGTTCATTGTACTTTGACAGTGGTAACTCCAGAAATTTTGCCCATGCTTTTTCTGAGGCAAAGACTCAGCCCTGCAAATTTTGGAGAGAGGCTTAGGAGCTGAATTTATACTGCTTTCTTAGTCTCTCAATGGGAGGCTCTCTCACGCTCAAAAGATGTGTTTTCACACTGTGCACTAAAGGCAGAAGGCAGCCAAGGGAGAAATTTTCAGAACATGGAAAATCACTGTAACTGATAGCTCAAATGACTCCTAGCTGTGGTCTTGATCTCAGAAAGGGTGGTAACACGGAGTAGAAAGGGCTCATGAATGCCCAGTGTCCTTCAGGCAGGGCTGTGATTCAAAGTTGTGCTCTGTGGAGTCGAGTCCAGGCATCCCTCTAGTCCTGGCAAATGTACCAGCGTGGCCTCGCAAAGCTGAAGCCGTGGAGTCGCGTGTGTCTGGATCTATGCAGGATGTCACTCTCAGAAACAGTGGCAGCTGTGTCATTTACAGCATTTCTTCACACAATGGCTGTGGTGTGACATGGATGTTTGGTACTGCTGGGCTGGATTGGGATGGGCTTGCCACAGAGGAGCAGCACTTCAGGAGGCAGAGCTGGCAGCCCAGCATCGTACCACAGGTGGCACGAGCTGGGGGATTTTGGTGGGCCAGCAATGTCACACAGTTATGGCTACGGACAATGACACTCCCTGCAGTTGATTGTGTTGTGCCTGATGCTGGGGTTTGTTTTTGCCTTTGCAGCCTGGGAGTGCCCATCGGCCATGGCAGTCCTACTTTGACCTGATCCTGGTAGATGCGCGAAAACCCCTCTTCTTTGGGGAAGGCACGGTGCTGCGGCAGGTGGACACGGTGAGCGGCACGGGGAGGGTGTGTCTGTGGCTGGAAGGGCTCCTGCACCTCCTGTGTGCTGTGTCTCAGTGGTAGCAGACAACACCGTGTTCAGACAGGACATGCTCTAGAGATGGTGGGCTGGCTTCTCCTCTTAGTCATTCCTGAACAACCCCATTGCCTGCAGCACAGCACAGCTTGAGGCTTTATTGGCTTCTGTGACTTTATGCAGGTGGCAGTAGGAAAATAACGTGGAAAGTCACTTCTGTGCTGCCTGGGTCTGAGAGAGAGACAAAGATCCAGACCATCAGCTGTTCTGTACTAACACAATGTTTCCTTTCTCAGGTGACTGGGAAGCTGAAGATTGGGACCTACACTGGCCCACTGCAGCACGGCATAGTGTACTCAGGAGGTGAGGCAACACCCTTCTAGTCCTGTGGAGTGGCTCTGATGTGTCCTCGTGGTCTTCAGCCTCTGTGGCTGTTAGAGGACTTGTGCAAAGTGCTAGGCAAGCTTGGTTTTCCCAAAGCACATTTTACTGTGCCCTCTGCACACTGCACCAGAAGCTCTCCATTGTCATTGCTGCCCATTGCAGGGGAGCAATGGACTCATTTCTCCTCAAATGCCCTTTACTTCCTCACCAGGGAGGAACTCAGAAATGCCACTGCGGGGCTTGTGGTGGAGGTAGAGCTGCAGCTGGCCCAATGCCATGTTCCCAGTTGTACTTACAGTGCTGCCACCAGTGTGACCTCACTTGGAGGGTGCCTGATCTAGGGAAGGGCAGTGGGTGGATGTATAGAGCTGCCTGATGCCCAGGGCTCTATTACTCTCACATGGAGTGGAAGGCAGCGTGGTCCCTCTGCTGCTGCTATTCATGTGCAGGGTGTGCATGGGCAAAGCTGCCCTGGGTGAGCTCCCAGGTGGGTGGGTGGACACAGCCCCTTGTTGCCATGGCCAAGCAGGGGTTCTGGGAGGAAAATGTACTTTCTCTGCATGGTCGTCTGAAGTAAGCCACACATTTCCTTTTGGCTCCTTTTTCTGAACCATGCCATTCTTCTCTCAGGCTCTTCGGACACAGTCTGTGACCTGCTAGGGGCCAAAGGGAAGGATATCTTGTACATTGGAGACCATATCTTTGGAGACATCCTCAAATCCAAGAAGCGCCAGGGCTGGAGGACCTTCCTGGTGATCCCCGAGCTGGCGCAGGAGCTGCACGTCTGGACAGACAAAAGTGGTAAGCAGCTGGGCAAACCCCAGGCCAGGCTTTGCTCTTGTTTGTCTGGTGCTGCACCTCCGAGATCACCAGGCCATAGGGGTGCAGGGGAGAGGTCACCCTGGCTTGGCTGCTTCTCTTTTCAGCTCTTTTTCCCTGGGCCTTGGTGTTGGTGGCAGGAGCTGGGACAGCTCTCCATGGGCTGACCACAGGATCCCAGGCCTTTCCTGTGCTCTTACCCAGGCCACTTGCGGGAGATCAGCCAAGTGCTGACTTAGCCATGGGAGAAGCTGCAGCTGGGTGGGATTGAGTTATTTCTTATCCATGACCCTGCCCCAAAAACTCCTTTCCCTCTGCCCGTATAGAGCTGTGGCTTCTCTGGTAAGACATCTGGGTTATTCTCCCTGTAATGCCTGAGCCATGACTGCTCTCCCATCTGCTGGGAGTCCCTGCTCACCAGCCGCTTCCTCCTGCTCCCTCTGCTGCTCTGCTGCCCAAGTGCTGTGTGTTTCCCATCTTCTAGCACTACTGCTTTTCTCCCAGGTTTGCTCTTTGGTGTGTAAATAGGTCTGGGGGTTATGCAAGTTGACCCATGGCTGGTTGGAAGGTTTTGGTAAGGGCTGTGAAGGTTTAGCCTCAAAAACAGAAACCAAGTGCAAAGCTCTGCCAGTGGCACAGAGGGCAATTGAACCCTGTCCCTGCGCAGTGGCCACCAGGTGCCATGCTCCTTGATGCAGTGCCCCTCCACTGCCATGCAAGGGGAGCAGGCAGGATGGTAGGTTTACTTTCAGCCCTTTTCATTTCAACAGTTTAAACATACTTTTTCTCCTTTCTTTTCTGAATTTTCCAGCCCTTTTTGAAGAGCTGCAGAGTCTGGACATTTTCTTGGCTGAGCTATACAAGTGAGTGTTCAAACACAACTTTCCTGCTGCCTCTCCCAGCCTAGAGACAGCTAACGAGTGGCTTTGATGAAACCTTGGGGTTGGGTTGGCCAGAGCTGCTGGGGTGCAGCCAGAGCTGCTGGGGTGCTGCCAGAGCTTTTTCCACAAGACCAACCTTCCCCTCCAGACCAGTCTCCCTCCCCTGAGCCCCCATTCCACAGCATCTGGTTCTGAAAGGCTTTTCACACCATGTATTTACCTTCTCGCCTGTAACTAGGCATCTGGACAGTAGCAGCAATGAACGCCCTGACATCAGCTCCATCCAGAGACGCATTAAGGTACCAGTCATAAAAAAAATCCCCTTTTACCCTTTTGGATTCCGAAGGGCTTGACAATCCAACCCCACTGCTTAACCCTGAAATGCTTTACTCTGTCTTTGGGTGGGCATGGCAGGCTTGGCAAAGCTGTTCTGCGTTTGTGGATGCAAGTGGAGGAGCTTCTCAGCTCACTGGTGTCACCGGGACTCCTGAAAGGCAGCCTGGTCTGGAACAGGTTCTTCATTCACACAGCAGCACTGACTGATGGTGCTCACTGCTGCAGAATGTGGCCTCTGGTTCAGCCAGCCCTGGGGTGCCAGCCTGGGGCAGGTACTGCCCTGAGCCCTCTGCTGCCTTTCCCTCTGGCACTGGGACTCGGCTGTGCTCTGATGCCATGGGATACGAGCGCAGAAAGCCTTGCTGGAGACCCTTGCAGATCTCATATAGCCCCCAGCCCTCAATGCACTCCATTTCAGTGTTGTGGTGGCCCCACACTGCTGCCTGCCCAGCCCAGGATCTAACCTGCTCTTTGCTTGTAGAAAGTGACCCACGACATGGACATGTGCTACGGGATGATGGGGAGCCTCTTCCGCAGCGGCTCCCGGCAGACCCTGTTTGCCAGCCAGGTGATGCGCTACGCTGATCTCTATGCAGCCTCTTTCATCAACCTCCTCTACTACCCCTTCAGCTACCTCTTCAGAGCTGCCCATGTTCTGGTGAGTTGCAGACCCCAGGGTGGTAGGCAGGGGTCCTAAAGGTGCCTACACTTGTGTTTGTCAACATTTCCACAAGCTGCTAGCACCAGGAACCAGCACCTCGGAGGGCTGGGTGGTATTTGATGCATCTTAGTCCAAAGGGTCACATTCTGGGGTTTGTTATCCATCTGTCTCAGGGAGATACCCTGGGACTGGGACACCCGTTGCCATCTCTTCTCTCACTTACATGTGTAGATGCCACACGAGTCCACAGTCGAGCACACACACGTCGACATCAATGAGAAGGAGTCGCCGATGGCCACGCGCAATCGCACCTCAGTGGATTTTAAAGATTCTGACTACAAGCGGCATCAACTGACCCGCTCCATCAGTGAGATCAAACCACCCAACCTCTTCCCCCAAGCACCTCAGGAAATCACACATTGCCATGATGAAGATGACGATGAGGAAGAGGAAGAGGAGGAGGAAGAGGAGGAAGAGGAATAAGAAGGAAAAAGCAAAGCATCTCTGAAGACAAAATGTGACTCTAGCAGTGATCAGGAGCAGATTCCTTTCTTGGGGCCCTTGGGATGATGGGTTGGGGGGGTGTGATTCTTGTAAAGGCACATTTTGAAAGTGTCAGAAAACTTTTAACAAATTAACACTAATTATGAGGAGACCCTTATTTTCAGTTTGCAGACGGTTCAAAAAGCTGATGGATTCTGCCTGGGTGGTGCATTCAGATTGAACTGCCCACCTGTACTGTCATGCTGCTCCCACTACATTTTGGGATGCTGCATGTTCCTCCATTTCCTGTTACTCGTTTCATTCAATTTTCATGTGAACGGTTTTTGCCATTTGTTACATTCTCTGTGGAGAAGGAAGGGATGTGCTGGGCCCTGCAGGAGACAATCCAGATCCTCCTGCCTGTTGGGTTGCTGCCCTTAACCCTCTGCTTATGGGTTACAAAGTCTCCCCTCCCAACGTTAGCCAGGATTTTGCTGTGGTTTCCAGCACTCAAGTTTGCTCTATGCTTGGTGTTTCTCTGTGTAACTGGGCCGATTCCTCTGGCTGTCACAGATGGCAGTGGGATTCCAGCTCTTGCCTATCTGCATCTGTACACGTTTTGGCTTGTAGGTGCTTGTTATCCTCTCCCAGTGTTTCAAAGCTCTTTCATCATCAGCATGTGATGCATGATTTCCAGCACATTTCTCACAGCTGAGCAGCACACTGTGTTCTCAACTCCCGTAGTTTCAGCACTAAATATTAACCCAGGAGCTTGAAGCTACTGCTTTAGCATTACGTTAGTTGGTTTGTTTTCCTGCTGCCTTTTACTGACCTTTCTGTCTGCTCAGCTTTAACAAAGCGAAGCATCCCAAAGACAAACCCAGCCACCACCTGGAGTGAAAGGGCCTGTTATTCTGGGGTGCTGTGGGCCTTGTGTCTCTGCCCTAAACTAGGAAACAACATGTGCCCCAGGGCCAGCTGGGAAGCTCCAGTCTGGCTGGAAGCTGCCCTGTCCTTGGCCTGGTTGGCACAGAGCAAACAGACCCTCATGGCAGCTTGTGGTGGGCAAGGCTGTGTCCCCATGTGGGCTGTCAGGTGGGGACTGGGGCTGCCCTGCAGGGAGAGGCAAGCATTCCATGTGCTGGAGAGCCAGCCCCAGGGAAGGCACAGGGCTGGCTTGCAGTTGGGCAGCAGTGCCCTGCAGTTTTCCTCCATGTCATGGGTGCAGCCTCCCTTACTCCAGCCTGTGCCGTTTGCTGTGAAGGAATTACAACGAGCGCCCTCTTGTAATTAATTCGACTGTTGTTTCAGTACCATAAACTCATGTAATCATTTTTATTTTTTTTTTTCATTTTAAAGTAACTTAGGAGAAAATTTAAAACACACCACCAACATCTGAGCAGGGAACATTGCTGCTGTAGTGGCAGTTGTTCAAGTCAATAAATGATGATGTTTCTAAGAAATGCCTGGTGCTTTGTGGCGCATTGCTGAGATGAGGGCTGTGCTGGAGGTGGCGGAGAGCACCAGGACTGGTCTCTGTGGGGTTCCCAGTGGGACTGGTGGCTGAGGAACAGAGAAGCATCTCTGGGGATTGGCTGCATGAAGCATTGTCAAGCAATGGCTATGGATCTGACTATGAGCTTGATTGGACCCCAGTGAGCAGGTGGGCAGGAAGTGACAGGGAGCATGAAGCTTTTGTTATCCCCACTGGCTTCATAGGAGGCACAGGGAGGCAAATAAACATTGTGGCCTTGATTCAGAGGGGGCGGAGGGGCACCCTCCTACTGCCTCCAACATTGTGCCTTTCCAGGCCTCTTTCCCACAGGCATTACCAAGGGCTGCTCCCCACTACGCATGACCTGTGCCCGGGATGGCACTGGTGGCACAGCATGGCCTAGTCACCAGGAGCTGCAAACCTGGCCAACGAGGCTGCCTGTACCCTGTGTGCCTGGCCAAGCCAGGGAGGACCCTGGGGACAGCAAAATGCTGTTCTGAGCCCTCACCTTTCAGCAAAGGCCTTGTATCAACCAAGCCAGACCAGATGAGGCCCTGCCCTCAGAGAAGGGTGCTCAGGACCCAGAGCCCAAAGTGCCAAACAACAAAGCAACACTAAATGGCTGCAGACCAAAAATCAACATGTGACATTTCAGGGACTGTTGAAACCCCCAGACCCAGCACCGGATCCCCGACCCCTTGATTTTTGAAGGCTGGAAAACAGCTAATTTGTACCACAGTGAAGGTGGCTGCAGGAGGGCTTTGAGCCCTTTCACTAAAGGCCATGCTGGGCTTTGCTATGTTTAAACATCATTTCTCCAAGTATAGCCACTTGAATTTTTTAAGCTTTAGCTCAGCAGCTGGGGCGGGTGCTGCTGCTGCGGGAAGGAAGGTCTGGGGACCTCCGTACATTCCTCCTTCCTAACTGGTCTCCACAAATAGCTCACTCCCAGCCCAGGGCTATTTCTGACTGTGATGGGGAGAAGACACCTCAAGACCAGAGCAATGGAAAGTATTTCACCCTCACTCAATGGTGGGAAAGCAGCAGGCAGAGCCTGCAGACACTTCTTACTGCCCAGCCTTGTACCCTGCTGTCCCATCCTGTGCCCATCACAAAGCTTGAGCAGCAGCTGCCCAACTTACCTAAAAGCCAGGGCTTAGCAGCCCAAGAGCTGAGCAAGGAAGAAAGTCCAGCACCAGGAGAGCAGCTGGTGAAAGGGCTGTGAGGAGGCCAGGGCTCGAGGGGTGGCAGAGGCACAACACAGTCAAACAGCAGGGCTGTATCTGGCATGCAGGAAAGGGTGAGATGATCCTTCACCAGCACGGAGCTGGACATGCTGCTGGGCTGGAGACGAAGCATGAGCTCACTCTCCTGCTCAGAAATACACACACCGCTGTCACTGCAGGCACCACACAACTCTGCTGCTGTGGTCCCAATGTCAGGGGAGTGGGCAGTAGCACCTAAGGCAGGGGGATGGACTCATTCTACCACTGACTCCCACCCAATGGAGCCACCATCACCACCAACCACATCCCTTCCTGGCAGCACCCAGCCATGCACTGCTTGGCAGGGACACACACTACAGATGGACAGACAGCAACTACACTTCTGGACAAACAAACATGGTATATGGAGTGTAGGTTGTAAATAAAGGGGTTTTATTAGTGGAAGAAAAAGGCGCTCACCCTTGAGGGAACTTCAGAAAGTCAGCTGCTTGCCATTACCACCAGCTTCCCAGCTCCCAGCCAGCAAAACCACCTGACACAGCCCTCCCCAGCTCAAGAACTTACTGGCCCATACCCACCAAAGTGACGAGCAAGACCTGGCTCTAAGGAGAACAGGATCCGGCTTCTCCATGGCTCTTGAGAGTTGGAGATTAAAGACCACTGATGTGCCAATAGCAGAGATCTGGGTCCAGGATCACTGACATCCGCCCCACCACCCATCCCTTGGGAATGAGGAGGGGGAGCATGGAGGAGGGAAAAATGCATAAACTGGAATGTTCAACAGAAAAAAAAAAAAAAAATCACCATTTATCTAAAAAGAACAGAAACAAACAAAATGCTTTAAAACAAAATCACAAAATATACAAATAAATCTGCCCATACCCACCAAAGTGACGAGCAAGACCTGGCTCTAAGGAGAACAGGATCCGGCTTCTCCATGGCTCTTGAGAGTTGGAGATTAAAGACCACTGATGTGCCAATAGCAGAGATCTGGGTCCAGGATCACTGACATCCGCCCCACCACCCATCCCTTGGGAATGAGGAGGGGGAGCATGGAGGAGGGAAAAATGCATAAACTGGAATGTTCAACAGAAAAAAAAAAAAAATCACCATTTATCTAAAAAGAACAGAAACAAACAAAATGCTTTAAAACAAAATCACAAAATATACAAATAAATCTGTTACAAAATAAATAGGAAAGATTGGAAATCTACAACAAAATTGGAATAATTATAAAATTCATTTGTATGACAATCAGTATATGAAACGTATACACTTCATTCAGGATTTCAGTTGTGCTTATTGAGGTTTATGTACACACACAGAAATACTGTAGTCAGAATACTACAACTCTGGGAACCCGAAGCATGTACAATATGATACAGTTTGCAAAGACCAAGTATGATGGCAAATAAGACCCAGGGAAGAGCTGGCCAGAGTGGCTGAGTGGGTCCAGATACCCACAAAATGCACTGCACAGGGAGAGCCACCACACTCCTGACTGGGGAGATATTGAGGCTAAGCAAGCAGCAGCCATGAGGAGGCTCAGGGCAGCCAGGAAGGACCCGACTGCGGGATAAAGGTTTGGTGTGAGACCTCCAGCTGCTGAACACCAGCCACTCCTGGCTTCCAGAATGTTTCTCAAGTATTTGGGCTTTCCAATTCAATGTAGTTGACATCCAGGCACCTACCCAATTATTCAGGTATGGAGGTTTTCTCTGCAGCTGCATGCACTGGAGAAATCACACCCCAAGAGCTCTGAGGTCCCTCAGCAGGGCCTGATCCTGAACTACTTACTTGTAAGCCACTCTTGCATTAAATGGGACCAGAGCACTGGTGCTGGGGTCCTGGTGGGTTTCCACTCTTCAAATTTCATGTGGCCTGGGAGGAAGTGACAGCCCCTTGAGCAGCATCTCCTACACTTAGTGTGAGGAATGAAGACGGGATGGTCACAGCATCGCCCGTTCCTGGCTGCTGCACCTCCTTCTCTCACCCTCCTGAACACTCAAGCAAACCCCAGCAAGAAGAGCAGAGGAACAGCCACAGCTGATGCCAGAGCAGCAGCCTCAAAAGCCACATTGCTGAATCCAAGCCAGCAAAATGCAGGACACAGCACGTACCCTGGGTAAGAACCCTGCACCCA